CTGGAAGTGCTGCGATGGTGCGGGAGAAGAAAGAAGAGTCACTCGAGAGCACGCTCACCAGTCATATAGAGGCAAGGGATTGGTTGTAGAAGGACTTGGGGCACACGACTCGGGCCAGGAGGAAAACCCCGGAGGTTGAGCTGGCACTGTGTGTTGGCACACCAAGCAGCAAGGACATAGAGAACTAGCGTCGCTACCGTCTGGAGCAGCATATGACCGCCTGGTTCCGAGGACGTCAGTGTGAAAGGCCCAGGGAGTGATCGTAGACCTCAGAGGTTCCGAGTGAGGCTGCCCGGACTAGCTGTACCCTTACCCAGGAGTTCCTGGTCATCTTGTAGCTCACTCACTTGACGGCAGGACGGCGACTGTCCACACTAGTCAGCAGTGCGAACTTGCAATCAGGAGAGCCGATGACGAGGGTAAACCCAGTCTAGCGAGGCTGAGTAAGATGACCGACCGGCGACAAGGACGAGGGGCTCGTTCGGAATGACCAACTTTTGGCAGCATCGAAGAGGTTGAGGAGACAGTCAGCAGTGTACGTACGTGACGACCCTCGACATGGCATCAGAGAGAGGCTGACGTGAGCAGCATGACCGTGCGGTTCTGAGGATATCAGCGCGAGAGTCCCTGGGAGTGGACGTTGACCTCCGAAGTTCCAAGCGGTTGCCCGGACTTGCTACACTCTTTCCCAGCAGTTCCTCGTCGTCTGTAGCTCGCCCACTTCGCGGCAGGACGGCGACTTTTCACACCAGTCAGCAGAGCGGACCTGCCATCAGGAGAGCCCATGACGAAGCTAAGCCTAGCCTAGCAAGGCCAAAGAACATGACAGAGTCCGGGACGCAGGCAACGACGATGAGCAACGCGTTCGGCGGGACCGACTTACAACGGCAGCGAAGAGGTTGAGGAGACAGTCAACAATGTACGTGACGAACCTCGACACGGCATCAGAGAGAAGCCGACGTGAACCGTAAGGTTGTACGATTATGGTGACGCCATATTGGATTAGGAGCAGTGGCTATGGCCAAGAACAAATTTAGACTGGTTGGCATACTATTTTGCTTGTGCTGTTATAAGGGTAATATTTTGTGTCAGTGAGTGTAGGTTTCGTTTTTGCTTTCGATTTTTTGTCTTTTATCTTTTGGGTTATAAAGTGTGCTGTTTATGTCAAGCCCATCTCCCGACCCTCTCAATTCCATCTGATGCAAGCGTTCCTGAGATGAGTATGTGACAGTACGGCTGATTTCTTGAGCTGTGCCAAGTAATTGGGTGATTCATAAAAAACTTGGCCCGCATTGCTGAGCCACTTACTAACCTTACCAGGACTGACGTGGAGTTCAAGAGGGAAACGCCGCAGAAGGAAACATTTCATGTGGGTTTGTACAAATATTTGAATGCTTTGAATATTCAAAATCGAATATAAATTATTGAAAGTTTTGAAGTATTCGCAATGAGCGAATAGGTCTATATATAAGTTCGTATGTAACCACTTGTAAAGGTGATTTCACTGCAGTGTAGGAATGCTAAAGCATGAAAACATCTGTCCAGGGGAAATACGCTCTGTAGAGAGGCCCCGCAACACTCTTTGAGCATGGTCAGAAAACGCTGCGGATCAGTACTGGAGGCTACCGAGAACTCTAGAACCAAATATTATAGCGCATCGGTGGCCTGGAATTTAAAGTAAATTCTCAAAGTCGGTTAAAAATTCCTTTCTTTTCTCTTGACAAAAGATGGAAGAAGCTCGAAAATCACTCGTCACAGCGGTGGTTTCAGCCATTGGCTGATTTCAGCATGGTGGGCTTGGTCATTACACTTATCGCCGCGGGAAACCACGATTTGTCCACGCGTGCACACGCGTGGACACTGAAAAGCTGTGAATTTGAAGAAAAAAAAAAGGGAGAAAAAGTTTTCAAGGTCACTAGGTGTGCATGATGCATTTGCTTTCCTCGTATCATTCCTCTCTGCTCAGGTTCCAGCACTTTCGTCAGGACGAGAAGAGAAAATGAAACTGCAGCGTGCAACAGGTCTTTCCAACTCCGCTCGTATTGGATGGGTTCGAAAAATTTTTGCGGTGGTAAATTCATGAGACAATGAGCTTCTTTAGTCAATCCATTCCATGGCTACTTGAAGAAGTGTTGCAGGGCCCCTTTTAATGAACATATTACCCTCGCATCAATTTGTTATTTTATTAGGTTTAAAATATTGTTATCAAGGCTTATGTGCTCAAAGAATAATAAATTTTAATATGTTACGTATTTTACAAGTCATCGCTCGCATGTCATTGCAAGTCAAATCATGCTACAATTCAAAGTTGTTTTGACTTCTTTGAATGAAAAAAATGCATTTGCCTATAGGCTCTATTTCAATTTAAAAATATTGTGCAGGTTAGGTAAGGACAAATATGCTTATTTTTATTTATATGTAATATATTTACTATTCAAATTCGTATAAAAATTATTCGACCGAAATCACTGTTCGCACAAGCCTGATTCCAGGAATAAAATGACACCTGCACATACCCCCGTTACTTGTACAGTTCCACGAATTATCTGAGACAGAAATACACACTGACGCAACCAGTAGGGGGACTCAGCACCGCTCTTGGGCAGAAGACTGCCGGACAGGATGGGGTTCAACACTGTCGAAATTTGGGCTTGTTGGTGCGTTGTGACGACTGAAAATAGCGCTAAGAAACGGGGACACAAGAAGAGGACACACGGCACAGGCGCTACCTGTGCCGTGTCTCCTCTTCTTGTGTCCCCGTTTCTTAGCGCTATTTTCAGTCGTCACAGGATGGGGCTATTAGTTGAGTCAGTCGGTTTCTATCCAAGACAGAAGCCAATTATTCCATAACAGAAAAGGAGTGCCTTGCCATCATCTGTGCTACGTCAAAATTTTGTCCCTATCTATATGGCTACGTCAATTTTGTCCCTATCTATATGGCGGGCTTTTCAAAGTTGCGAGGAACCACCACGCCTTCCGTTGGTTAGCTACCTTGAAAGACCCTTCAGGTCGCCTCGCACAAAGTGCCTGAGACTTTAAAAATATGACATTATCGTCGTTTGCAAGTCCGGTAGAAAACACTCCGATACCGACTGCCTATCTCATGCCCCGTCAACCCACCACAACCTACGACCTGGATGACTTAGCTGAACGACAGCAAGCTGGCCCAGAATTTGAAGATCTAATAAAATACCTCGACGGCTGGACCACCGTTGTTCCAAAGGTATTGAAGTAGGCACTTGCATCATTTTGCACTGTGAAATGGGTTTCTTCAAGAGAAGAACTTCTTATCCCTGCAAGCCAAGCACCTTGTGGTGCCTTTAGCTCTGTGACCACAACTCCTCCAGGCCCAGCACAACGTTTTGACAAGAGAACACCTCGGTGTTTCCCACGTACTCACGAGGATACATGAAAGGTACTATTAGCCATACCTTACCATCAACATTACTCATTACATGAGGACACACCAGTGCTGTCAGCTATGCAAGACGCTGCCAACAAGACCAACAGCACTTCTGAAGCCCATTGAACCACCTGGCCAACCGTTGTAGCAAGTCAGTATGGACTTTTTGGGATCGTTCTCGTTGTCAGCTGCCAGAAACAAGTGGGTGGTCGTAGGTACAGACTAGCTTACTCACAAGCAAAACAAAAGCCCTGCCCAAAGGCAGTACATGAGAGGTAGCTAAATTCTTTGTTCGAAACATGGTCTCGCATGACAGTGCCTCAAAGTAACTCATCACCGACAGATGTACCGCATTCACTGCTGACCTAATTCAGGCAATTTTGGCATTCAGACAGGTGGCATTCAGACCGCTGGACGACAGCATACCGCCCACAGAACAATTGCCTCACCAAGCGCCTAAACAAAACCATCGTTGACATGCTGGCCATGTATGTCGACGTCAAACACAAGACGTGGTATGCTGTCCTTGTACGTGACCTTCCCATGCAACAATGCCATACAAGAAATGACGCAGGTGACCCTAAACAGGTGAATCTACGGAACGACCCTGGCAAGGACACTAGATGCCCAATGTCACCGACGAATAAAAACCTCAATGTCAGTTTGTACCTTCCATGCACTGAAAAAGCCCGACAACTCGTTTGCCTCTTGTGGGGGTGCTAATACCCCCTGTAATGTCGTTTGCAGCTCATGGCACATGTTTTTCACGCATAGGTCGCATTTCAGGTTCACAACTACTGAGTGGTAGGTGGCATTTGTAGGGGGTCTGTCCTATGTACGGATGACACAGAAGCCTAGCTAATGTTCCAGTCGCACATTGTTGTACTATGCACGACTAACGTCCCCTTTCTGTACTTAGTCTCATTCTGTTCCAGTCGCACTTAGTCTGCGTGAGAGTTTCGCGCAGGAAGGTGCCCAGAGAGTGGCTGTTGAAGGAGAGTTGCATATTTTCCAGTAGTGAGAAATGAATGCACCTCAGTGCACTATGAAGCTGCTGCTGAGCATGGGGAAACTCTGGTTTTTCGAATCATGCAATATCCGTCCATCATTTTCTGTGCACTTGCACAGTTCCACATGTCAGCACTTTGTGTTTGGTCTTAGCATAATGTGTCAAATAACAACCACAAGTAGCCACAGAAGCAGTAGCAGTAAATGCTGTGGCTTATCTTACAAACACTTACAAATTCAAGAAAATGGATGTCATTAACAAGGCAAGCAATCTTGACTAGTGAGCAAAACAGGTGATGCTGCTTTGCTCAGATGTCTTAAAATGTGGGGAATGAGTAGCACAGCCAGTTTCTAAGGAAGCATTGAAGAAAGCAAAATAGAGCTTATTTTCATGTGTAAGGCACAATGATGTCAGACAAAAAGGAGAGTCATGGAGTGTCTATTGTTATCACTGCACCTTCAAAACATGCAAAACCAACGCCACCACCATTTTTACACAGCAGGACTCGTTCTCGAGCTCACATGTTTCACCTTTTGCTCCTAAGCTCTTTTTTGGAAAGGCTCTGTCAGAGTGGTGCATTTTGTGCAGGCCAGAGTCGCCCAGGAGCCCATTTTGGCAGCCGGGCGGTCTATCATTGATGGATCGTGCAGCATGATTCTGTCGGCCAAATCCTTGGTGCTGAATCCAAAGGACCCACCGGCCTGGCAGAGCCTGGGTGCCCACAGCAAGGAGGTCTCAGACGGCATCAAGAGGCTCGTCTCGTCAATCAAGTATGGCTGTTTGTAGAAAACATTCTAGTAAACCCTCGTTATTACGAATTTGCGTACTATTTCGAAATCTTAGTCAAGTCTAAACTGATGTAGCATTTATAGGAGCACGGCTAGAATATTTGCCCCCTTTTATCTGGTTTTCAGAGATGACTGCGGGTATCTAGAAATTTTAACCGGCAGGGCGGAAAGCAAAGTCTGTTTCCAACAGGCGTCAACAGCTTCGCGCGATCGTTTACATGTCACTACAGTTTAAGGCGAATTCGAAATTCTTGCGAATGCATCGGTTCGCTATTCGCCTTTTCAGTCAACTGTGGGAGTAATCATGTGTGTCGCCACATGCATACACTCGCACACCAAAGAGGCAAGTGTCACGCAATTTTCCCATCAGAATTAGTAAGATTTTTTTCTGTAAGTTATTTTGTCTTTATTATGGTAAGTCTCCTGAACAATGTAGCCTTTAGTAGCAGCAGTGGCTTCTGTTTTTTATTGACCTGGTCAAATAGTTTTGACGTTTTGGGGAACTCAAAATACTGATTATTTCAAATTATTCCAGATTTTACGACTTGGAGGCAACAAGGGATGACAGAAGCAAAACTGCTAGCTGGCCCAATTGGAATTAATTAATCTTTTAGCCACTTTTCAGGGGACAAACTTAAAAGAAGCAAGGACTATGTTGGGCCAGTGTGCATCGTCACTTGAAAAAAGTTGCACAAACTTAAAGTCGAGATCTCGTCTTTGAACTACAGTATGAACAAACGAGCGCATTCTCAAGACTCCTTGCTTTGTTTGTCTTGCACGCTAAAAGCAGAAGAACTGTAATTACCTTGTATGGGAGCTTGTTTAGTAAGTTGGCAAAATGCACACTTGTGGAAAACTGGTTGATTCATGTCCTGTTGTTGGCTCGCTTTGCTTCACCAAGCTGTAATAAGGAATAAGTCAAAGGAATTTATGATACTGAATAGAGCCTCACTTTTTGGAGCACAAATGTACAAGGACGAAAAGGGACGCACACAATGCAGCATCGCTTTTTGTCTTTGTTCATTTGTGCTCTAAAAAGCGAGACAGGAATTACTAACATGCGTGCTCTTCCAATTAAATCGGTTGGCGACACACGGTGTGACATCATGGCAAGTGCCACCCCCATCAGTGCAGAAGGCAGCCTACAAACTCCAGCGATCTTTCTCCACAGCCTCTTTTGTCAATGGAAGGGCAGGCCTCATCAGGCTTGACTGCCATTCCATGCGTACACAATGTTTCATGTGAGCTGCGAAAAAAAATTGGGGCTACATTCGACATGTCAGCTATAAAGCTCGATGGAAGTGAGTCAGGACCAGGCTCACACTTTGCCAAAAGCTAGACCATGCAAATTAGGTTAAATGCTCCGCAAGTGAGGTTTACCATATTCCTGTGTATATCTACTTTAGGCAGGCAGGCTTGACACAACACGTGTAGGCAGATTAGTGGGCTTGGTAAGCTTACTGCATACTTCGGCACAGAGTGCGGATGTCAAGCTTTGTTTGAGCAGACTAAGGTCTTGTTTTGGTTACCAAAATGCCAGTAGAGAGATAGTTGTGCAAATAGCAATATTTTGGGTTCGAAGTGAATTAGAATAATGAAATAAAAGTGTGAGTCTAATTGAATAATTTTTGAACATCTCTCTATTACTTCTAGAACATTTTTTTGAATTCTGTATTTACTCAAGTAACGAACGCTTAGTGAATACACCCCCAAATTGAGTCATTAAAACTTAGACTTTTTTTTCCTGCATTATAATGCACTCTTGCATTCATCTGCTGCAGTCCCGCAAACTGACACCTGGCGTCCTTGCTCCTTTCTTTTTTTTTTTTTATTATAACCCTTCCTCGGCCACTTCGACTTGCTCCCTCCTCCCCTTTCAGCATCTGCTGCTGCGTGCCATTTTTTAAATTTTTTTCATGTGCGCAGCAAGTTCTTTGTCTTTTTCAATCATCTGTGCACCACAGCGGGGTGGCTGAATAGTGATAGTGTAAAGACATCGCAGGTGACAAGCACACTGCGGGCAAAGGTTACGAAACTGCCCGCATTGAGGAACAGTCGCTTGCTGCAAATATGAAACTTTAAAAGGCCAGTCAACAGGCTCTGGAATGCGCAAGAAAAGCTCATGCATCTTTCGTACCTTCTTCAGACGCAGTGACGTCAACTCGGCGAACGGTGACGTGGATCAAGTTACTCTTTATTGACACCTGGTTTAGACCAGTTGACGAGCTGGGTGCTACGTCTAGTCGCCGATCGCCGAGTTGACGTCACTGGCCGTTGAAGGAGGTTGGGCACGCGCAGGAAAAATGCGTGAGCTTATCCTGTGCGTTTCAGAGCTTGTTGACTGGCCCTTTAAGGTCCAATCACATGCACACGATTTCCAAGCGACGATGACAGGATTTTCTGTCGCTATGGTTGTCACGAAGCGCCATGTGTCAACATCGTATTGCAGATTTCTGGACATCCAGAAAAAATCACTTGTCATCCAAAAAAGAGCGGGCCAATTTGCACAACATAGTAGCACCTCTGATTCTTGCTTTGTTCGCAATTAGCTCTTTGAGCTTGTTATCCTACTTAAAAGAACGCAAGATCCTGGCTGCCTAGTCTACAGTCACTTCTCATGTAGACAGCGGTGAGGCATCCGAATTTCCTCGTTCATCTAGTTATCCACAGTTTGATGCTTCAGTGGTAGCTTGCTGCAATGCTGTGATCCCACTCATGTGCCAATTGCGTCAAAGTGCACCAAATCAGATTTACTGCGCCATCTTGATAATATCGACGGCAATTGTGTCAAACTGCGCCGATGTCGAATTTTGTAGTGTCTATCTCTGGCAAAAGACACTGTGGAACGTCAAAACAGTGACCTTATTCTCTGGACTACCGAATTCATAAACATGTATCTAGAATTATTCTGCTGAATGATCAGCAGTCGCGTGTGCGTCTTAAGTAATATATGATGCTATGTTGGTGCCGACACAAGTTCTGTTGTGCAAGTTCACTTGACAGCGAAACACGCTCTCCGCGGAGGCTCTTGGCGTCTAGTTTAACCGGTAGCGAGAAATTGTGGTGGCAGAATTCATCGGCAGACGTTGTCCGTTCCAGAAACGTTGCTCATAGTACATTTGAAGAGTTGCGTGGCACGGGATCAAAGCAATATTCACTGATAACCACACGCGTGCCGCCAGAATGTCTTTCACGTTTACTTCTGGACATCGAGAAATAATTTTCAGTGCTTTGCGTCCACAGAAGAACACATAAATTAACGGTGAAAATGCATTGACACTTTATAAACTATTCATAGTATATAAATATATACTTTATTATACTTTATTCATATACTTTATTCATGTACTTTATTCAATTCATATTATACTTAATTATACTTTATTCAATATACTTTATTCATAGATAATCATTAAGAAGAGTTTTTTCATAATTTCTTCCCCCAGCACATTCATGTTTGTAATTGCTGTTGTGGTAAAAAAAAAAAGGTCCTGTCCTTTAGAACTTGAGATAGAAAGGGTGCGAATTCAAAATTTTTGTGTTCTTTTTTTTTTATGTCAACTCATTAATAAAAGTATGCCTCCTGGTTGGAACTGCTGCATTCCTATTTTATTACAAGCAGCTTTGGGTAATGAGGCCATTGCTGGCCGCTCTGGTGTAGGAAGGCCCACTGTTGAGTGGCTACAGCTTGCTACACGCCCGCCTCTCGCTTTCCATGGTCCATAGATTACGGTTAAAAAAAAATTGAACATCACGGCATTGCATTCATTGCTTTGTTTTGAAAGGAAAGGGGGGTAACGCAGGCTGCGTCGCTTGAAGGACACAGTCGCTGGCGCGCGCTATCTCAAGAAATAATGAGAATGCTCATAAACTTTCTGTGCTACCAGTGCATGCTTAGCATTTACATAGCTGAGAGCATGAAAACCGCTTCACCAGCTGCAGTGATCATCGTCCCTTTAGCCAGCATACTTCTGAGTTAACAATATCAAGTCCAAAAGATACGATTTGTTAATATCAATTAAGCTCTTAGCAATGAATGCAATACTAACAAATTGTATTGTTATACCAAATAATAAGTCCTGACGTCATTTGAGAGGAGCACTAGCCGCGGGGTTGCCATTTTCAAGATCCGCACACTTGCCTCACTCACAAAAACTAGCTGCACATGCGGTGTTCGACATTCGTACAGTGACTTGGAATATAGATACCCCCAGAACACATCTCTTTCACGCTCATGCATGTACAGATGAAATGACACTTATCTAAAGCACCCTTCGGTCGCTCCAGCTGCCGTTTTCTTCAGAAACATGGAAAGAGACGCCGCAATAATACCAAATATGGTCATACTGTGTGTTAGGTCCTTGTGCTACAATGTGAGCATTAACAAACGCTTGTAGTTAGCGTGAGATAGAAGCTGCAGCCAACTACAACGCTGACAGGCTTGTGCTCCGCTGCTCTACATGAGTGTGATTTTATCTGTACAGCACAAAAGCGCACACGAATGGACCTTCAATATAGTGCGACGATGGTGTGGCCGCTTTGCAATCAAGGCTCAGTGCCTACTCTTATATGGACATGGCCGCTGTAGAAAGCGAACCACTTTTCACGCAGTCTGTTCGCTTTGAGAGTACAAGGTAGAAGGGTATACCAGCCATTTTGAAAGGGGCCCCGAAACACTTTTTCAAGAAGCCATGGAACAAATTCACTAAAGGAGCTTATTGTCTCATGAATTCAACTCCGCAAGAATTTTAAGAATCTGGCCAGTGCAAATGGAGTTACAAAGACATCGCATGCTGCAATCGCATTCCCTCTTCTCTCGTCCCGACAAAAGTGCTGAAAGCTAAGCAGGGAGGGATGGTAGGGGCAAAAAAAAAAAAAAAAAGGTTATGTGCACCTTGTTACCTTGAGCACTTTTTTTTTTCTTTGAATGCGCGGCTTTTTTTGTGTGATCACACGCGCACGCATGGATGAGATGCGGCTTC